ACCATACAACAGAACCACTGAATTGGAAATAATTTGAAAGATTCATGTCTTAAGTTTGTCAGATCTCAATCACAGAGTTACACAAAAACACAGAGCATGGCAAACTGTCAAGAGATATCCTACAAACTCTCTACGGCAAATACTGGTCTTTCTAAAGCCTAAACCCACTTCAGACTGCTTATGAAACTGATGTTTACATTAGTATATGCTAAAAAAAGGAATAAAAACCTTTGTAATGTAATACCTATACAGAGTAATTATGGTATTTTTCCATACTATTTTCCAAGCGGCTTCCGTAACTCTCTAGACAGTCGGTACTACTCTGTTGAAGACAGACGTGCAACGACCATGACATGCTGTCAAGACAGAACACATACTGAACGGGTCAAAACCAGAAGGAAGGGAATATAGCTCTTAATCATCTGTCACTACATAGATGTCTCACTTTGCTTTTCTTCATCCCCTTTAAGTGGGATACAAGTAAGTCCTAGCTTGTAAAAAACAGTGTGGATATAAAGCATGGGAGAAATGGTTCCTTACTGTGTCAGGAAGTAATTGCATAGCCTTATATTTGTGGTGGTGTTTTGTACTGAAGATATGGGCCTTCAACACTTACACACTTACAGTAATGTTACCATTAGTTGGGTATTATAAGAAGTAATTTCTCTCCATCCCATACTTTCCAGTGCAAATGTTCTATGCCTGATGGTAAGAGGCACTTTTACTTTACAAATAAACTCTCACCTTATGGTACCCCTTCTCTCTCATCCACCCTTGAACATGCCCAATCAGTTCTGCCGCAGTATTTAATGATCCTGTCTAAATGAAAATGCTGCTTTTAAGACTGCACAGGAAAAAAAACAGTTGAACAAATATGTTTATAGCACATAGGCAGAAATAATTCAGCTTTGTCTTTATAATAAAAAGATCCCACTGCTGGAATTACTGAGAAAAAAGAAACACTTCTAGCTATGGAGGAATACAGGAAGAATATATCTTGCTTCTAGTGCACCCCCTCCTCGCACTGCTGGAGCAAAAATGGTACAAATACCATCAGATCAAACATTCACCTAACCCAAACATGGGTTAGGTGACAGTGGACTAAGAACAAGGTACAAGACCAACACACCCAGTAGCATCATTGGCAATTAATATCACTTTGATATTACTTTAAATATACTCAATAGTGCTGATATCAAGCAAGGTTGTGCAATGCTATAGCACAACCCTTACATAAAAGCAACTTACGTATGTTGTGGACAATACTGTAAAAGGTGATAGTATTTAGCTGACCAGTTGGAAACAGAATCAACATTTCTTGTTCAGTTGCACTAGTCCTAGCTGCTTATAACTTAAATGAACCTCAAAGTTATTCTATTGCTTTAATTAGCGGAACAGAATTTGGATTGAGACTCTTTAAGAACTGTATAAAGAATTGAGGCAGTAACAGATAATCAAAAAAAAGTCTGTACATAGTGTGGCTTTCTTTTGTTTGTCAACTGCAAAGTTTCTCTTGCAGTATCATTAAAAACACTATTACTGTTAGATTTCTTGCTGTTACAGTACTGTGATATGATCGAGGCTGTACTTCCATAGTATGCTACCACCTAGACTGGTCCCTATGCTATAGTAGCATACCACAATCTCAATAGCTGTTCTGCCAACAGCTATTTCTGGGGCCAGTAAACTGCATGTGCAGGACACCTAGGTTAAAATGAGTTTTCCTTAAGCCCTCTTCCAGCATTCACTGCTACTTTTTCCTGGTGTACTAAACTAATCACAGTGGAAGACGATAACATATTGTGCTAGCACAAGAATGACATCGATATATTGCTGCATGAGATCCGGAGACTGACAATTCCTTAAAACCCTTTACTGCCAAAACCCTGATACTGTAGATGTCTAGCCTTATTTGTTAATATTATCAAACAGTGAGTTGCTGGAGAAGCTGAAAGCACTTCAGTATCATGAATTCTGTCACATGGTAGCACAAACTTGACAACCAATTATTCCACGGTAGATGCTTCTCCCCTTGAAAGAAAAACAGCTGTTCCCAATCACAGAAGCCAAAGTACAGTCCACTGCTTCTTCCATACTTGACAAATGCATGTAGCCTGAAAGCTCCAGTTCAAATCCAAGGGGAAAAAAGAAGGGAGAAATGAACACTTGATTCTCTATGTTTTAGTAATAATCTCCCAGTATGGCAAAACCAAGGAGGACAGTTAGTTCTTTTCAGGCTTTCTGCATTACTGCTTGCAAACCTAACCCAGGTTAGCTCAAGTTTGTCCAACTTTTAACTGAAATTTCATAGAAACTTTCAGAGAAAGACAAACTTACACAGCTTTTCTTAAATTTTGTTCTAATTTTAATCTCTGAGTTTGTCAGCTATGAAAACAAACTTCTAAATTTCATGAAGTTATTTTGAAAATTTCTTCAACTTTTGTTTCTGTTTATTGCTTTTAGGCTAACAGATTTTGCAGGAAACCATGCTTTTTGTATTTTATTGCTCCTCCTCAGAAGGTTCCCCTGAAACCAGGACAACATCAACCTTGCCTCAAGTAACATAAAAACTGCAAGTTCTTGTCCCATTACAGTGTGCTTTTATACCTCGGCACACTCTCCTATTGAAGAAGTTTGTACTGATGTCACCAGTAACACATGGGTTAAACTTCTAAACTTGGATTTCCATCTTCTTCTTCCCAGCAGAGCTGGAGAACTGATAGATCTGTTTTGTGGTCCACATATGCACTCCCAATCAAGACATCAGAAAGCTTGTATAATGCCATTTGGGGATTTAAAATTACTTTTGTTATTATTTTAATTAAACATTTTTGTTGTCCTACTGTTAAAAACAAAACCAAAGGATATTTCTGGACCTGAATCCATAAAAATACTCCTTGTTCACATGCATGCAACCACCTGCTCCCATCTTATCAGCTCTTCCTCCACTCCTGGTAGCAAACACCTGAATAGTCAGAAAGATAAGACTATTCCCCATTTCCCCAGTGTATGTACCTGAGGATAAGGTTAGGAAGATTGGACTGTATTTGGCTGATGGCGAAGTGTTCACAGGCAGGTCAGAGCATTATACTCACCTGGGGGATGAAGGCCTGGGCTGTTCCTGTCTTGGAGAAGATACCTACCTTACCTCGCTTTAGGTGGTGAAGATGTTTGTGACAAGAAAGCGCCTGGGGCAGTCAGTGCCCCTTCTTTGTGGGCAGGGCTGTGCCCGCTCCTGCCTCTTGCTTAGTATGAGGAATACTTACCCATCGGGGATAGTATTCTTCTTTACCATGCTGAAAGCAGGAGCAGGCAGAGCAGGAGACAGCGGTGAAAGTGGGCACTGCAGCAAAGGAGAGAGAACCGCGCAGTTAACACGGTGCTAATCTCTTTCTCCATCAGTGGGCCTTTTCACAGGGCTGAGTCTCAAGTAAAATAAACCAAGCAGTCAGCTGGGGCTTGAAGCCATCCTGAAAAAGTTCTGCAGCTTGCATGCTAGCCTATTTTCTCCACTGCTACAGCACGACAAGAGGGAAATACAACTCACCTCTCCCCTCCAGGAGATCAAACGAAACCGAGAGGAGAGGCAGCAGATTTCTAACTCTAGCAGCAGCGCTGCAGGGATGAAGATCTTCCTGTCAGCCCCTTCCGTCCCTCTCCTGTGGTTCGGAGCAGTCTGTTCTGCCCTTGCACTCCCACTGCTAGAACTCTTGTCTCAATGAGAAGCTCCAGGCAGCTGCAAGAGGCGAGGCCGGCACCTCAGAAAGGGAAAGACCATCACCTGCCCCACTATAACCTAGATGGGTCCGCTCCCGCAAGATCCTGGCCAGCATCACCGCCCGCCGATCTCAGTGGGAACAGGGCAGGGAAGGGCGAGGAGAACTGCCCCCCAGCGCGAAGGGCCCATGTCCGCCGCTCCAGCGAAGACGCTTGAGGATGGAGCAAGGCTCCCTCCTCAACGCCACATGCCCCCGAGATCGCGGGGAGCCCAGGGCAGGACAGGCCTCCGAGACCGGCTCCAGGCATTTCTTTTTTAGAGGGAAGCGGCTCAGCTCGGGGGAGGAAAAAAGAGAAGGGGGCAAGGGGTTGGGGGGGGGGGGAGGGAGGTCGCGGCCCGACTACGGGGGCTGGGCGGCCGGCTGTAGAAGAGGGATGGGCTGTGCGGAGAGGGGCGCGGGCTACAGCAGGAGTCGGAAACAGGGGAAGGCCCGGACGCCGGCGGCGCGGGGAGGACCGGGGCTGCGGGTGGCCCGTACCCTGACAGGATTTCCCTTGCAGAGGAAGGTTGTGGCGAGACAGAACGTTCCCGAAAGGGTCCGCACTGCGCCTGTGCAGCAGCCGGCCGGCTTGCCGGGGTAGGCAACGCGCCTGCTCCTCTGAAGCCGGGCCGGCCAGTGTCGACTACGCCTGCGCGACGCAGACGGCTGAGGGGTCAGAAGAACCGCCCCTGAGCACGCAGCGGGGCTGCCCAATAGGACGGCGGGGGGCTCTACGCGTGCGCGGCCGTGTGAAGGGGTGCCAACCTCGAGGCGCATGCGTGCCCACGGGGGCCGGGGCGGGGGGCGCGGGGTGGGCGGGGCTGGGACGCACGCGCAGCGGCTGGGCGGGGCTGGTGGGCGGTGTGGAAGGTGGAAGGTCGGGTGTGGGTGTTGCGGCGGTCGGTGAGGAGTGGTTTTGGTTCCGTGTGGAGTCGGTGTTGGGTGGGAGGTAGAGACAGCTGTGGTTTTTCTTGGTGGGAGGCTTTGTGCCAGGTGCAGTTCTGGAAGTGGAGCTTGATGGCCCGGTGGAGCCGCTGAATGAGCAGTTGCCGGAAGCTCAGCGGGGCTGCGGAGGCTTGAAGGAGTCTGTGAGGGTGAACCGCACGGGGCGGGCGGGCGGGGAGGGTATGTTGGCCTCGTCTTACAAAAACGGCCTCGTTCACACCTTTTCTGTCGGAAAAGGTTTTGACTTCTGTGCTCGGGGTTACTGCCGACTCTTTTTTACTGTGGTCGGCGGTTTTTTTGATTGGATCTGTTTCTCTCCCCTGTGCCATGCCTGCTGCATCTGTCTTGTAGCACTGTCCTGTTCACGTCTTGTGTTCAGAACGTGTATAGATGAAAGGACATGTTCACTTCTTTAGAGTGGAAGGCAGGTTGCGGTTAAAGGAGAGGTGATTGGTGAACTAGCACTGGATCACTGATGTTAATGTGCAGTCTCTGTTACTAGTTTTCATTTTCAGGCTGGCCTTTAAGTCGTTTATGAAACTCCTTCAAGTGTTTGTCTTTTGAAGGAACGTAAGTAGTTGATAGTTTACAGTGTATTAAGGTACAAATGCTGTGAAATAACAGCCTTTTTGGATTTCATATTTGCTTATTTATATGAGAGAGAAGCTGTCAGTGTTAAATTTTAGAGTAGACGTTCCTTGCCGCATAATTTATAAGCCTGATTATCTATGACAGAGCTGCAGTTTAGTCTGAAGTTGTTGTGCTGGTAGTAGAGAAACAGGACTTCTGTTTGTCAAGATAGTAAACTTTTAACATTTCTAAATCTGGAGTAATACAGATTTTGGGGTTTGTGGGGGGTTCTTTTTGGTTTGGGGTTTGGGTTGGTTTGTTTGTTTGGTTTTGAGTTAATATGCTGGAGGGGAAAACTCGACTGTAATTCCTGAGTATACTTTAGTGTCTTATTGCTTCTTTTGCTCCTTTATTGCACACTTTAAAGCAATGTTTGTATAACTTTGTTTGCTCTGCTGAATTGAATGTACTCTTTTTTTTCTGCTATATGTGTTGCAACTTGTTTTTTCAATGCAGGCACTTCAAACAAATGGACCCTTATGAGAAATAAAATGAAAAGTCATCAGACAAAATTATTAAAATAACTTTCTTAATGCCAGATTTTGTCCATCTTTTTGTTCACACTGCTCTAAATTACAAACTAGAAAAATACATTGCAAATATGAGTTCCATATGTGTTCTGTTTTGCTGGGAATCCTCACTTTCTGTTTTTTTTCCTCATCGTGTAAGAAATGTTTCATGACTGATTTCACTAAATTGGTGGAATGATTAACTAGGTCTCAATGCTGAGAGTTCTGGTTAGAAAGAAGGTAATTTTTTTTTTTTATATGCATAAGAATGAAATAGTCCGATGTCCTTTTAAAAAAAAAAGTAACAGCCTCTCCCAAAACTCAATTTGAAGATGAAAGATTGTGGTATAGTTCTGTATAAAGTCGCTAGTCTTAACTAAATCAGTTTGATGTGCACAGGAAAACAATTCTTCAGTACTTGATGGTGCTTTCAGTGAGGATTATTAGCATAACCAAACAACCGTGCATACAGTAAGTGTTCTGCGAGAGCAGTCATGTCTGATCTCTTTGCTGAAGTGCTGTGTGAACGTTCCTGTGCAGTTTGTTTTGAGAGAAATATTTTGACAGCTGTACTTCGGTATTTTATCACATGGCTTTTTGCAGTACTGTTCTGTGATGTAGCAGTTGGCTCACAAGCACTCTGAAGTGTTCAGTATAGTGGAGTGGGCCACAGGGTCCCTTTTCTGCTTTTAGAGAAAAGTGTGATGTAAGAAAATGAACTTAACTGCTTCTGTGAAAAAGCTTCTGTGTAACTGCATGGCAAAAAAAAAACCCAAAACAGTTATTGAATTTGCTAAGAATAATTTAGAAAATTAAATTGGCATTGCATCTTTTAATTATTTGGGTAGCTATTGAGTTCTCTAAAGCATTTGTTTCTTAGAGATAACTATGATGATTTGCATGCTTACCACAACCCAATTGTGGAAAAGTTTATTGTGAAAACCAATGAATAGGAGTACAAGAGGTTTTCTTAATTTATTTTTTTTGTTTCTATTTTTGAATGTAGAACTTATTTACAGTCTGAGAGTAGTAAAATGCAGGTTTGTGAGTGTTATGAAAGCTACTCATATTTTAGCCATTGACATAGCCATCAGTGCTTCACAGCAGTATTTTCAAAAGTTTATGCAAGGATGGTACATTGCTCCTTTTTCACTTCCAGAAGTGGACAAAAGGAAAAACATTCTGTGTTATCAATAAAGAAAACATATATCCTGTAGTCCTAACATGTTTTAATCTGAGGGAAAGCCAAAGACAGTGTAATTTACAGTTGTTCAAAATCATACTGTGGAATCGTAAGGTGCTCATTATGAGACAGCCATAAACTCTTGAAATTAATGTAACACTTCATCTTTGAAGAATAGCTGAATTCTTGCACTTAATGATAAAGTATGCATTCTGAAACCTAACACTTGAAATGGTAACATATCAGTTGTTTAGTGTCCTCTTAAGGCTTGCCAATTAGATCCTTCTAAGCAAGGTGCAATGTAGCGAATGCAAATCACTTCATTGCCTAATAAGTTACGAAGCCAACATCAGAGGAGAAAGTTTTAGACCTACAGTAAGATTTAAGTAAACTAATTTTTACAGCCCTGGAATAAGAAGGTTGATACATTTGGTCTGGTTTGTTATTTCTGACAAAGAAGACTCTTTGTTTTCTTGTTTCTGTCTCTTTCAAATATTTTGCGTAGATACCTCCAGAGGTTGTCACATCAAGTTAGAGAACGCATAACAGGCAAACAGGTAATTAGCAGTTATTCAGCCACTGCAAACAAGGAAAAGCAGACAGTAATCAGAACTCCTCAGCTCCACAGTTTAAGTGGAACGTCAATGCACTGATTGATGTCAGGGACTTCATTTTCTTCTCCTAGTGATGTGTATTATATACATAGCAAACATATAACGCATCTCTATAACACTAATTAGCCATAAAGGATAAAGACGGGGGGTGGGGGTGGGGGAGGGCCAGAAAGACAGTTATAAAAAAGTGCTTTGTTAATGTTACCTTTTAATATAGTATAACTGACTGTTGCTGTATTGAAAGGCAAAAATACTTCATTCTCATTTCTCAGGTAATGAAGATGCTGTGATTCTTGTATGTAGTTTTGGAATGCCTTATTTTGTGTCAGTATGAATGGCAGGAGTTACATAAACAGTACAAATAACCAGTGATACACTCTAATAGTTATGCAGTTGTAAAACATCTGGAGGGAAAAAAAAAAAATCTGGTAGTAGTCTTATAATTTAAAGTTGGCTTTAAATATTATTTACTAAATAATGTTGCTCAACTCTCAACAGAGTGCATTTATTAATGTTAACACAAGCATCCTCTAAGGAACTGAAGTTAAAAAATATATTTTGTAAGAAAATATGCTTTGGACCATTTTAAAGTTACTTTTTTCTTCAAAATTAAGGTCATTGGAGTCTTGTTTGAACAAGCTTCATTTAAACATTAATACGAAATTTTCTGTTTCTTTTGAATTTGAGTCATTTTGGTTAGAGTAATCTGTGTTTGTAAATTTGTAAAATTGCATTATTTTAGACAAGAATGGTTTTAGTCTAAACTTTGAAGAGCTGATTACTGTCTGATTTTGGAGAAATGGTTGCTGAATTCTGTTGTGTTGAATTATTTTAGGTTTGTTTCATAAATGCCTGCAGTGGGGGGTGAGGAAAACATTTTTTTCAGTATCAGTCTTTTTATATCTCAGGTTGCTCAACTGAATTGATTTACATTAATATTAAAAGTTATAACAGGAACAGGCTTATGCTTTTTGTAGGTATGATGTGCACTCCCTGCATAGTGCAGCTTTGTTATTAAAAAATACCTTGTGCGAGTGTACATGGCTTGAAGAATATGCATTCCTTTTGGTTTGTTACTTTTAACAGTTAAAACTGTTCTTTCGTCAGTTTTGTTCCGGTATCTGTAGATACAGATAGTTTTGAGATTTTATACTTTATTTGTTTCACAAAAGAAGTAAAAGGTGCTTGTCTATGCAGTAAGTCTTTTTGTTTGTAAGTCAAAAGGGATTCTTAGGTTCAAGTCAAGTTCTGATTATCAGTCAACCCTATTTAGACAGTTTTCTGGTAGTAGCACTAAATGTACTTTGAAATTATAGTGCATTCCCAAAGCTAGAGCTTGTCTTTGCTGTTACTTGAGTGTACTGTCCAATAGCAGCATGGGTTAAAAAGAATGTGTCCTTCACAGCTAATGCCAAATTCTTTTCCAACTAGATGTTTCAAAATAGACTATCTCCGTAGTCAAAGAAGTGCAAGTAATGCTGATTTAAAAAACAGCTCATCATCCTCCTCACTTAAGCCAATTTATTTTTGGTTTTGTTGTCCTTGAAACTTCACTGGGTGGTGCTGATTTGTTTGCTTAATTATTCCCATGTGCTCCTGCACAGTACTCTGAGTTGTCATAAGTGGATGACAGCCAGAATGGTTGTCAGTACTAGAAGCATGTTCTGAAAATTTAGATCATGATTTACAGTGAAACAGCTGTTGTTGGTTCTCATTATTTATTAATATTTTTCAACATCTACTTGATACTTTATTATTTAATGTGGATCTTGAAAAAAGTACATTAAATATTTTAAGCAAATACTTTGAGTTTGTTCTTTGCTCCGTTTCTTCACTCCTGTCCTACACTAAGTGTTTTTGTACAGCAGTTTTGAGATGCCTAATTTGTGAAACTTACAAATATGCTTTCCATGTACTGCTTTTGATGCTTTTCATATTGGATTATTCCTCTTGGCTTTCAGTACAAAGTGATAATTCATACTTGTTCCTTTTTTTTTTTTTTTTTTTTTTAGTATAACTTCACTTTTTTGATCTCCTGTATGATTACTAAACATCAGATTTGCCTTTACGTTTTTAAGTGAATAACTCTTTGAAGTTGTGGACACTTCATTCTTTTTTAATCAAAGAAGAGTCTTTGAGATGTAAATGAAAACTGAAAAGTACAAAATTCTGTTTATAGCATTGCAGGTAGAAGTCTGTAATAGCTCTTGTTTCACTTTTGAATGTAAGTAGTGTGGATTTGTATTAGTCTAGCTGACGAGAGCAGATTCCCTTTGGAAAAGGGAAAACTTGCATCCAGTGATTTGGCTTGGATTTTTTCAAAGAAATATTTGTGCATTTTGGGGGGATGTTTGAATGCAGTTTCATGTTGTTAGATTGAAGAAAAATCAAGTACAGCTGTGCTGTAAATCAAATATCTTGAAAAGGTAACTGACATCCAGGAAACAATTAAAACAGCCCTCTGAGCAATAACTATGTTCCATTTTTAATGG